TCTGTACTAAGAAATGACTTCTGTTTTATTGCCTTTCCCAATGAAATAGATGATGGACTTCTGAAACGTTATCAGCCCGTCCTTCCTAAGAACTCAAGAGTTAAATTACAGGAGAAAGGAAAAGTACTGACAAAAAAAATTCAAATAAGGGGCAAAAATATATTAGCAGGTTTTGAGATTTCTGTACCTTTAAACTCTTTGAGTTCTTCTTTTAAACACCAAATTGAATGGTCAACAGATAGAGAGCATGTTAGAACACCTCACTCCCTGCCTTGTATATTATGTTAAAGTAGTCTCCTAGCATCTGAGATACAGATGTGGCATTAATAGATTTCTAAGCTGCTATGTTCAAATCAACATCCATTAATTTTCTGGCTGATATTCCTGCAGTGACCTTTCAGATTTCCCTCCCAAAGTTATGTGCATTTCTTCTTGATCTGAAAATAAGGACTTTATGTTTGCTGAACTCAAAAAGATCTTCAGGCAAAGGCTGTCAGAACAAATCAAGTAAGTAACTCGTCCATGGTCACTAGTGTGCAGAGTGCATGGAGATAGGAAAGTGATGGGATTAAACAGTGAAAAACTGCCCAGCAGCAGGGATTTGTAATTAAGACTGAATTTTAATAAAGCTATGAAGAAGATAAGAGGTTTACCTCCTCGAGGGTTGAAGAAAAGAACCATGACCTTACAATGAATAAACTGAGCATGGTAGTTAGATTTTACTTTTATTTTCTGATGTCAGTTCTTAAAGAGGAATTGTCGATATATGTTCTCCCCTTAATTTGTTGCATGGACATTGGGGTTTCCAACTCCAGATGGACATATTCCTGGAGCTTTGATCACATGACCTTATCAAATTACTCATGTTTGAAATTTGCTGTCATAGTTTGCCTAAGAATAGTTGGGACCCGGGAACTGAGTGCACTTGCTGCAGTTAGTTGGGAAACGTTTGGTGAATATGGGGACTGCCCGTGCACAGGCAAACAAGGTACTCCATCCCAATGACACTGCGGTACAATCACATATAAAGTCTGGGTGAGTAGAATCAGCGGCGAGATATCTCCTTTCCTTGCATCTCCCTTTCTTGTCTCTTAACTCAAGGCTTAAATTATAGGGGAAAGGAAAAGTACTGACAAAAAAAATTTAAATAAGGAGCAAAAACGTTTTGGTGGGTGTTGAGGTTTCTCCAAATTATACTGTACCTTTAAATCCTGTGAGTTCTTTCTTTTAAATACTGAATTGAATGATCAACAGATAGAGAGCATGTTAGAATACCTCACTCACTGCCTTGTATATTATGGTCAAAGTGAGGAGTTTGCACATTCTCCCCACGTCTGCGTGGGTTTCCTCCAGGTGCTCCGGTTTCTTCCCACAGCCCAAAGATGTGCAGGTTAGGTGGATTGGCCACGCTAAATTGCCTGTAGTGTTCAGGGATGTGTAGATTAGGTGGGTTATAGGGGGATGGGTCTGGGTGAGATGCTCTGAGGGTCAGTGTGGACTTGTTGAGCCAAAGGGCCTGTTTTCACACTGTAGGGATTCTATGATTCTATGATCTGCTCTTCTAGCATTTGAGATACAGACGTGGCACTAGCAAATTTCTAAGCCGATATATTCAAATCAACATTCATTAATTTTCTGGCTAATATTCCTTTAAATCCAGTGAGTTCTTTTTTTAAACACTGAATTGAATGATCAATACATAGAGAGCATGTTAGGACACCTCACACCCTGACTTGTGAAACTAGCAATAGCAATTAATTTTTATTGATGTGTTTCTAATCTTGGTTGTTATTCTGAGCTCTGTATAGATAGTCATAGAGTCATACAGCATGGAAACAGACTTTTCGGTCCAACTTGACCGTGCCAACCAGAGATCCCAATCTGACCTAGTCCCATTTGCCAGCATTTGGTCCATATCCCACTAAACCCTTCCTATTCAATTACCCAACAAGATGCCTTTTAAATATTGTAATTGTACCCCCCCCCATCTCTTCCTGTGACAGCTCATTCCATACATGCACCACCCTCTATGTGAAAATGTTACTCCTCAGGGTAATCGTTCCCCTCTCATCTTAAACCTGTGTGCTCTAGTTTTGAACTCCCACACCCCAGGAAAAAGACCTCAGCTTATCCCTCATGATTTTATAAACTTCTATAAGGTCACCCTTCAGCCTCCTACTCTCCAGGGGAAAATAGCCCCAGCCTATTCAGCCTCTCCCTATAACGCAAACCCTCCAGTCCTGGCAACATCCTTGTAAATCTTTGGTCTACCCTCTCAAGTTTAACAACATCCTTCCTATAGAGGGGCGACCAGAATTGTACGTGGTATTCTAATAGTGGCCTCAGCAATTTTACTCACCGCTTTTTTAAATTTATTTGGTCATTATCAATGACCAATACCCACTACCATGTCTACTTGTGATGGAAAAAGCTGACCCAGCCTATTGTAATACAACATTTCCCCATGTCTATGTGAGATGACACTATCTGATTACTGTCTTCTTCTGATGCAGCTTCTATCAAGGAATCATAGGATGAAACAGGCCCAAATGAGGCCATTTGGCCCATCATACCCCTACTGGACATTCAAAGGAACTACTCCATTGCTCTCCTCGCCCCCATAGCCCCAGATTTATGACTGAGAGCCACTGACTTTCATGGAAGAAAGCTTGGTTTGAAAATTCTTAATCGGGCAAATGCCGATTAAAAAGCCCAGATTATTTGCAACTGAGTGGGATTTTTTTTTTTTAATTCATTCACACAGTGTGGGCGTGTTGGCCATCCCCCATTTTCCCAGAGGACAGTTAAGAGCCAACTACATTGCTGTGGGTCTGGAAACACAGACCAGGCCAAACCAGGCAAGGACAGCTGTTTCCTTCCCTAAAAGACATTAGTAAACCAGATGGGTTTTTCCTAACAATCAACAACAGTTTCAGTTATTATTAGACTCTTAATTCCAGATTTTATTTTGTCGACTTCAAATTCCACCATCTGCTATGACGAGATTTGAACAACGTCACCTGGGTTTCCACATTAATAGTCAAGCATTAATACGCCTAGGTCATTACCTTCTTTAGTCAGTCGATGCATACCAAAGGTCCTTATTTCTAACAGTCAGAATCTCAAGTGTACAATCTCAAAACAGCAGTAGCAATCTAAGAGACTGAAACAACAAAATTGGAATTTCACTCGTGTTATTTTGATATGCATGTTGCCCTGACTTAGTGTGAGATTGGCCCTGAATGACGCATTGTGTTACGAGTAAAACCACCAGTAGCTTGTAGTTGGGGTGGTTTGCTGCCATCATTTTCTTTTCTTGACCGAGCCTGAGGGCCTAATTGGTTTAGAGAGGTAGATGGAATAATGTGTCTTACTGAAAAGAGGCTTTTTGTCTTAAAGAAGATGTAGTTTATTGCATGATAGCGATCACGTACACGTAAGGCAGACATTGTTATCAAGACGAACTGAAAACAAAAGATGCTGGAGATCTCAGCAAGCCAGGCAGCATCTATGGAAAGAGAGCAAGCTAACATTTCGAGTCTAAATGACTCTTCATCTCTGATGGAGTCACCTAGACTCAAAAAGGGCAACAACACACTGCAGCAACAAGGAACTACACCAAGAGGAGGAGGAATACCTCTTCCAAGTGTTCAAGGATAATGGATATCCAAAGAACTGGGTCAGGAGATGCCTACGGGAACAGCATCAGAAAGATTCTACATACCCCGACACACTCATCACACTACCCTACATCAGGAACACGTCAGAACTCACGACAAGACTTCTACGACCGCTGGGCATCAGAGTGGCACACAAGCCCACATCAACCCTACGACAAGTGCTCACCCAAACTAAAGACCCACTCCCCGCCATGGACAGGACCAATATCATCTACAAGATCCCCTGCAGAGACTGTGAGAAACACTACATCGGACAAACAGGAAGGAAACTAACAACAAGAGGACATGAACACCAATTGGCTACAAAAAGACACGACCAATACTCACTCATCTCAATCCACATGGACAAGGAGAACCATGACTTCGACTGGGACAACACCAAGATCCTGGGACAGGGTGCAGAGACAAGCATGAGAATTCCTGGAAGCATGGCACTCCACGAAGCATGCTATTAATAAACACATTGAACTCGACCCCATATAAATTCCTCTAAGGAGGAAACCCAGAAGTGAGGCAATCCATTGCAACGGACCCCAAAGTTTTTAAACACACTGACGCTTCATCAGAGGCTGTACCGAGGATGTTAGCAAGCATGGTAACGAAACGTCTGCAGAACAACAAACCAGCTCGGCGAGCCAACCAACCTCAACATTAACCCTTCCAGAACTATTAACTTATACAAAATATTGGAGGGCAGTTTCTCTCGCATTGTGTGCATCTCAACTGACCTCCACTTGGAAACTGCTTGCTGGGAGCTCCCTGAGCAAATACATCAGCTGAGAGATTCATTTTAGCATTCACGTTGACAAAGCTCTAAGTCGTTCTTTGTCTGGCTGTACCACCAGCCTGAGTCTGAAACACACACAGTAACAGTGAAATCTGCCCGACAACTCACCAAGCAGTTCGGATTGGTCAGCTCAGGAGCTGGATTCTCTGATGGTTAAAGGAGAGACATTGGCCACTTACATGGGCAGGGGGAGTAAAAAGGACAGTGAAAAATATGAAGCAGGTAAATAACAGGATGAGCTGAGAAAAATCACACCACAATCCATTCTGCACATTCTTTCGCTGCACCTCGCCAGAATATGATGCATTATTACTGATAACGCTGGGGGTTACTTCATAGTCAGGCTTCCCTCTAGCCCTAAAGCCTGTGGACTTATTTGTGCTGTATGACAATGGTAATATATTTCTGTCCTTTTCTCAATCCACTACTTCATTTTACCATGGCCATCCAATGGCAACATTTGAAATTATTTCTGGAGATTGACAGATGCTGTAATGACTGAGTTGCATTAAACTCTTGTTTTTCCATTGCAGATGGCCTAATGGAAAGAGAAGACGGAAGAACAGTCAATCCTCAATGAAATCCACCAGCATGTCAGGTACTGTCACTCTTAAGTTTCAGAAAGGAAGAGTAAACTGGGAAGGGTAGGCTATAGAGTCATAGGTCTACTGGATGGACTAAGACAGTAATATTGCCATTGCTAGGGATGATGAAGAGCAATTGAGTTTTGTGTAAGAAAGCAACTTCCTTTGAAACTGACCTCACAACACAGATCGACCAACCTAATTCAGGCATGCAAAGTTTGTTCTTGCTAGCAGGACCAGCATTGCTGCCCACCCCTAATTGCCCTTAAGAAGGTTATAATGAGCTACCTTCTTGAACCGCTGCATACCATGTGGTGTTGATATATGCAGGGTGCTGTTAGGGAGTGTTCCAGGCCTTTGACCCCAGTGAGAAGTCACAGGTGTGTCAGGTATTTTCGAAGGAGCCTGGGTAATTTGCTGTAAGGCATCTGTAGACGGTATACACTGCTACCATTATGCATCAGTGGTGGTGAGAGAGTGAATGTTGAAGGTCATGGATAGGGTGTCTGTCATTTGGGTTGTATTGCCTTCGATTGTGTTGAGCTTACTGAGGGTTTTTGGAGCTAAACCTCATCCACGCAGGTGGGAAGTATTCTATCTCATTCCTGACTTATGCCTTGTAAACGATGGACAGGCTTTGGAGAGTCAGGAAGTAAATTACTTGCTGCAGAATTTCCTAGTCACTGACCTGCTCTTGTAGTCACAGTATTTGTGTAGCTGGCCCAGTTAATTTCCTGGTCAATGACCTTGATGCGAGTTACAAATGAATAGCTTAGATACTTCCAACTAAATCTCAAGTTGAAGGGTGAAGCTAGAGAGTGGTGTTCTGTCAAAATCTTGTCAGGTAGATCCTGCACCATGTTAAGTATCACAGAATCGCTGAAGTGTTGTAGTACAGAAGAAGGTCATTTGGCTCATGCCAGCATCAGTTCATTAAGTGTGCACCATTACTAAATGCCAATCTCCCAATTTTCTCCCAAAACCTTGCACATTATTGTTATCCAAATATTCATCCAATGCTCTTTGGTATGGCTCACTGAACCTGCCTACACCACTCTTCGAGGTAGGGCATTCTGTCCCCTGATGACTCTTGAAGAAGAGTAATTACGTACTGTCAGTTTCCTTGACAATATTCCTCTCTCAACTGACAAACTGAAAATTGATTTCGTTACTTTTTAACAGGGTCTTGTCGTTTGTAAGTTTGTTGCCCATAGATTGTCGCCTCACTTTAAAGCAATCCATTGTACACAAAGTCTCCATGGAGATTCTTGAGTGAATATAATCATCTCCACTAAAATTGCAAGTATTTCTTTTCACATTTTAGGAATTTCAACGCAGGAAAAGACCATATAACCCCTCCGACCCATTCAGTGAGATTGTGACTAATCTGTGACCTAGCTGGATTTACCTGCCTTTGTCTTGTATCCCTTAAAAACTTAGGAAAGCAAAAGTCTTTCAATTTTGATGTTAAAATTACCAATTGATCTAGCATCAATAACTATTTTCAAAAGGGAGCTCCAAACATCTACTTTTTGTTGTGTGGAAGGATTTCCTAAATTCATTCCTGAAAGGCTTGTCTTTAATTTTTAGAGTCTGCCCCTGGAATCAAGAGTTATGAAAATAATGCAGGAAAGGGTACTTGAGGATTATCAGATCAGCCATAATCTTATCGAATGGCTTACTTCTGCTCCTTTGTATTATGGTCTTACTCACACACTCTGCAGCCAATGGAACTTCCTCCAAATCTACACAATTGTTCCCCTTAATATTTGAAAGACTTCAATCAAGTTGCCCATTAACCTTCTAACTACCAGGGAATATCACCCTAGATTATGTGATTTCTTATCCTGGCTTAACAAATACCATTGACAAAACCTACAGTCAGAAAAATACTGATCGCTGTTTTAATTAGAGATCGGGTTTTACTTCCAGACTGAACCTATTAGATCCGTTTGATGAATCCATTATATTGTTAATGAGTCAAAAGCTGCCGCAAGCATAAACCAGCCTGAGAAATAATCTGAAGCTTCTAGAGAGCTCATATCGACCTCACTGAAAAACAATGTTCCCACTTGCTATTGGCAAGGTCTATACAATATGTTTTAGACATTTGTGATTTGTGTTTGAAAAATCTCTCGACTTTCTTTTCATCTCAGTTATGGAAAAGGCTCAATGATTCTCACTATATTGTGATTTAAAAGGGTCTTTCCTGTAAGTATGCTTCGTGGTTTCAGTTGCTATTTCCATTGATGTTGCCCTTATTCCCAGTGGGTCCTTATCCAACCCCACTGTGGTCAATTGTAGTCTGTTCCAAATATCTGTTCATTCGATTCACTGGGACAGTTTGGATAGGAAGAAAGGAACGGCATATGTTGGCGGTGACCTCAAATGGATCTTGAAAGCAGATTGTCAGTGAGGAACCTACAAGCTGTAGGAGGTTTCTCCATTACAGCAAGAAAAAATCAGAGATAATCGATTTTGTGTCTCCTCCACCTTAATGAATGAAGGTCTGTCTGGATTTGTTTACTGTAAGTCATGTTTGAGTCCTTCAGGGAATCACGGAGGGGGCTGGAGGGGGTAAGTGTGGTTGATAGTATGCGTACGTACCCTCAAAAAGCATTTGAAACAGTGCAACATAATTTTTCACCAAATTGAACCCCATGATATTAAAGTTGCACTGGGTTTAGTGGGGAGATGTTAGTGTATTGGCATTGTTACTGGTATAGTAATCTGAATAGGACCAGGCTAGATGTTTTAGGTACATGGTTTCAAGTCCCAGCTGATGGAACTGAATAAGGGATGGGAAGGAAAATGAGTTTGAGGCCGCAATCAGATATGCCATGTATGAAATTTGATGGAGTGTCAGAGAGCAATGATAAACGATGAATAGTTTAGCACTCAGGAAGAAAATACAGACACAGTGCCCCAAATCAAGCTGTCTGAAACCCAAATTTTCCAAGAAATGACATTTTCTTTTAATCTTGGTAAAATCTGTGATGATTTACCTGTTTCCAATCATTCTCACACATTCTGAGGCAGATAACTACATGTAACATTACTATCAGAATCAAAAGTGCCCCCAGGGCCTGTATGTCAAACAGTCATGACTGTATTTGCATCTACCAATAAAAGACCAAATGCCACTTGCATGCTGTGACCTCTCTTTATGCAAGTGGTTTGCTCTGAATGCAGTTGTCAAAGGCAACACACAGCTTGAGTAACAGTCTTTAAAAGTTCTTCGCTTGTTCTGATGAAGGGTCACTGGACTTGAAATGTTAACACTATTTCTCTCTCTACAGCTGCTGCAGAACTGCTGAGTTTCTCCAGCACTTTGTGTTTTTGTGTCAAATTTCCAGCATCTGCAGTTATTTTATTGTTTCAAGAGACGATTACCAGCATCAAGCAGAAAAGGTAAAAATGCAGGTTTATGCAGAAAGTGAAGGGGTGCTTTAAAAATATGGGCTCCATTTCGCTACTGATTATCCCTATTTCTGGTCAGTGAACCCTGTTTTCTAGACCACCCCATCTTTCAACACCTACCCAAGAGACACAGGGGCCTAAAATTTTCAGGCCTTTACCAAGCTCCTACGCAGGTATGAGCAGTTTGCTAGTTTGATATCAGGTTTGATCACAGATCCCATGTCCAGAATGAAGGAAGTTCCGAAATCCAGCCCAAAAATGCTGGATGTTGGATATCAGACCTTCATACAGTGGTACCCAATGGGAACTGGTATTCAACTGATACTGTTTTGGACATACATAGAAAACCTGGACTTGATTACATAGGGCATTGCTTCAAAATTTGAAGGTGACAAGAAACAATCAGGCAGAAACTAACAGATTTCAAAGTCTGATTTCTCACCTTGGTGTCAGGAAACAGGAGAAAGGACTGTTTTTGGCATTGAGCCCACTGCCTGGGCAAAATGGTCATTGTTTGAGATTTTGACCAGGGCAACCCCTTCAGTAGCAAGGAGACAGATGCCCTGTCCAATTGGGGTCAGCAAATGGACTCCCAAAGCAGGAAGACCAATCAGAAGTCTTCTCTTCAGCCTTTATGAAATGGTAACTGAAAAGGTAAAAAGCACCCAGGTCGCCCAATGGAGGTTGTTACTCTACAAGGCAGCCTTTAGCTGCATCTGCACCTCGGCAGGCACAGAGGAGTATGTAGGGCACGGACACCTGGCACCATTTCCCCATGCCCACTCGGGTCTTTTCTGTTTATTCTCTGATGGGATGTGGGCGTCGCTGGCTAGGTCAGCATTTAATATTCATTCCCTGTTGCCCTTGAGAAAGTTGGGCTGAGCTACTTTCTTGAACTGCTGCAGTCCATCTTCTGTGGGTTGACCCACAATGCTGTTAGAGGGAGAATTCCAGGATTTTGACCCAGTGACAGTGAAGGAACAGCAATATATTTCTAAATCAGGCTGGTGGGTAGTTCAGAGTAGAACTTGCAGGTGGTAGTGTACCCATGTATCTACTGCCCTTATCCTCCCAGATGGAAGTGGTCATGGGTTTGCAAGGTACTATTTAAGGATCTTTGGTGAATGACTGCAGTGCATTTTGTAGATAGTACACACAGCTGCCACCGAGCACTGGTGATAAAGGGAGTGGATGCTTGTGGAAGTGGTGCCATCAAGCAGGCTGCTTTGTGCTGCAGGGTGTCAAGCTTCTTTGGAGAAGCTTTGTTGGAGCTGCACTTACCCAGGCAAATAGGGAGTATTCCATCACACTCCTGACTTGTTTCTTGTATATGGTGGACAGGCTTTGTGTAGTCAGGAGGTGAGTTATTTGTCTCTGTTGATGCTGACCTGCAACTTCTGACCTGTGACCTCATGAGGCCCAAGAATTCTGCGGCAGGAGGACAAGGACAGAGTAGTGCAATGCACAAATACACAGACAGTAAGCTTCAAGGCAATAAAGTACAAAGTGCTTCATATCAATGGGAAAAGTGAGGAGAGACAGTGGTACAATTTTAAATGGGATGTAAAAACAGATAAAACCAGCTTTCCCTTTG